CTCCCACTCCCTCAAGCAAGCCCAGGGCGCGCGTTTCCCCGCAGCCTCACTGACGCTGCGTTTTATCACTTCTTGATCTTTGCCACCCTGATGACCAAAGGGTGGTGTCATGGTGCGGGGTGGGGCTGCCTCTCCCCGGCTGAGAAGCGAAGCTTTTTCGTACCCGCATATACGCGCGTATGTATAGACCCATTGCTTGTGGGGGTGGAGAGAAAGAGGGATGCTGGAAAAGTACTATGAGATTCTGTCTTTGCTTGGATCTCTGTAATAACGTTAGAAAAGTGAAACTTGAAAGCAAGCCCTTCTCTGAATGTCTGTCGGAGGTCAGAAGATAAGATTCAGAGGGAGCTGGACCCTGAGAGTCCCCCTTTGGGGCACTGAGCATTTTCACCCGGAACTCTGGGCAACTCAAGGGGTTCGCCATTATCGCTCTGAGCTGTCAGCACAGAGCCCGACATGGGGCTCAAACCCACGAACTGTGAGATCATGACCTGAGCTGAAGTCGGCCACTTAACCGACTGAGGCACCCAAGTGTCCCTGACAGTTGTGATGTCCCTGCCCCTCCCAGTCAGCCCAGGAAGTGAGCCCATAGCGCTGGCCCTCAGTCACCCAGCTACCCAGAAGCCAACCTGGGATTTGAACTCAGGGCTGCCTGACCACAGGGATGCCAGGTGCAGAGCAGGTAAGATCGTGGCCTCTGGAGCCAGGCCGGCTGACTTCAGATCCCAGCTCTGCCGCCTGAGCTGTGGGACCCTGGGGGAGTTACTTAACACCTCTGAGCTTTTGGGTCCCCATCTGTAACATAATAACAGTGCCTGTACCCCACGGGGCTACTGGAAGGTGCGGTAGGCTGAGCACTGGCTCCCAGAGATGTCAGCACCCTGATTCCTGGGACCTGTGAATACTTGTTTACGTGGCACAAGGGACTTGGCAGATGTGATTAAGAATCTTGAGATGGGGCGATGGTCCTGGAATCTTTGGGGGGGGGGTGTGTGGCTCACCGCAATCCCAAGGGTCCTTATAAGAGGAAGAAGCAAAGGCAGATTTGACACAGAAGACAGGGTGACATGGGGGCGCCTGGGTGGTTCAGTCGGTTGAGCATCGACTCCAGCTCAGGTCACGATCTTGCGGTTCGCTGGTTCGAGCTCCACATCAGGCTCTGTGCCGACGGCTCGGAGCCCGGAGCCTGTTTCGGATTCTGTGTCTCCCTCTCTCTCTGCCCTTCCCCTGCTCTCTCTCTCTCTCTCTCTCTCGAAAATAAATAAACATTTAAAAAAATACAGCTGGGGAAAAAAAGCTTCAAAAGGCCAGGGGACTGATTGTCCCCTGGAACCTCCCCAGGGAATGTGGCCCCAGCCAACATCCTGATCTGGGCCCAAAGAAATTGATTCTGTGTCTCTGCCCGCCCCCCCCAGAGGTGCAAGTGAATGAATGCCTGTTGTTTGATGTCAGCCAGAGGCACCTACAACAGTGTCTGGCACCCAGCAGGTGCACTTAACCGTGACTCTTACCATCACCTGAGCGCCCCCCCCCCCCCCCCCCCCCCCCGGCCTCGCCCGCGGCCTCTGGAGACACGTCACAGACGTTTGCTCGCTTATTGGTTAAAGGGAGGGTCTCCTTCCAATTGTGTCACGGGCCTCAAAGGTCTGGTTCACGCCCATTTCACAGACAGGAAAACGGGCTCCAGCAGCTGTCGTAACAAATGGCCACGCGCTGTGTGACCGAAAACAGCAGGAGGGTATTCTCGACCCTTCTGGTAGGCCAGAAGTCTGAAAGCAAGGGGTGGGCAGGGTTCTTCGTTCTGGGGGCTCCGGGGGAGACTCGAACGCACCAACCACGAGATCATGACCGGAGTCGGCCGCTTAACTGACGGAACCGCCCAGGCGCCCCGCCCTTGTTGATTTCTGAACACAACATAGCACAATTTTCCCTTGAAAGGAGTGGTGGAGATCCTGGCGATTTTCAGTATCTACTAAGACCATGCAAATAATCCTTTGCGCTTAACGACAAAAGAACGGCCCAGATGAAAAGGCCCGACAAGGTCACAGGCCTGGTGAGGATGCGCGGCAGCCGGGACTGACGCCCACTGCTGGAGGGGACACAAAACGCCCCAACTGCTGTGGAGTCCGAGGCACACACATACCCCGTGAGCCAGCAAATGCACTGCGGGGCATTTACCCAATAAATGCGTGCACGTGCTCACCAAACATGGGCAAGAACGACCGTGGCAGTTTCGACACAATCGCCCCGCTTATGCGCTGATTTGTGTCCCCTCCCCAATTCGTGTGTCAGAGTCCCTACCCCCCAGCACCTCAGAATGTAACCTAATTTGGACATAAGCCTTTAACAGAGGCAGTTAAGTGAAAAGGAGGTCATTAAGGTGGGCCCTAATCTCCTATGACTGGTGTCCTCATAAGAAGAGCTTAGGGGCGCCTGGATGGCCCAGTCGGTTAGGTATCCGACTTCGGCTCAGGTCACAATCTCGCGGTTCGTGGGTTCGAGCCCCGGGGTCGGGCTCTGTGCTGACAGCTCAGAGCCTGGAGCCTGCTTCGGATTCTGTGTCTCCCTCTCTCTCTGCCCTTCCCCACCTCAAAAATAAATAAATGAACTTAAAAGAAGAGGAGATTAATATCCATGCACAGAGGGAAGAACCCCACGTGTGGACACAGGGAAGACAGCCATTCCACAAGCCAAGGAGAGAGGCTTCAGAAGAAACCAACCCTGGGACACCTTGAGGTAGGACTTCTCACCTCCAGAACTAGGAGAAGA